GCCACCTTACTCCTCACTCTCCGTGCAATCTTCCAAGCGACCTCTGCAACTGAAAGACCAATTTGAAGTCTTTAACCAGCCGTGAAATGCTCTCCATCTCCTTACATCTCTGCTGCACCGCTATGAGAACGCCCCCCATCCTTCCACGGAGACTCAGAGACTCGCAGGCTGGAGGAATGAACTGGGGGGTTGGCGGGGTTGGGGGGAGAGGTGTCGAATTCCCAAATTGCAATCTGGTTCCTGGGTTTAGAGGAGGGGTTTAATAAGGCATCGGGAAGAGGAAATGCAGATGCGGACACGACAAGTGGACTCCACGGGGAGTCATAAAGGGTTCATTCATTAAAAGTTATGCATCCATTATTCCTGGATTTTCACACACTGCCCTGGGAAAGTATGTGATGCACAGTTTTTCAGAGCAAGAAGCATACTTTCACCATCCTCCCTAATCCGCTCTGCCTCCTGCGAAAGGGGCATTGACCTGCGCCTCCTGGCAGACTGCATAGCACTGACCCCTCCCGGGGACCAGCTCGGTCCGCACAATGCGCTTGTTCCGGACACAAAAGTTCTCTAACAACTGCATTTGGAAACATCAGAGCCGGCCAACTGGTTGGCAGAGGATCACTCTCAAAAATGAAGAGTGACAGTTGCAGGCGCTGGGCCATGCCTGGCTGCAGTACGCTCCCTCCCCCAAACAAATCTACATACAGCACAAGCCCCACTACCTTCTAACCCATGCAAGTGTGACCTGAGATTCCAGGAGTGAAATTTTGCTTCTATTTCAAGAGAAAGGATTTATGTGCTGGGAACCTTCTGCTTATGCCCACTCTCAGGAATGTGCCATGGCCCTCATGGTGGGGGGAGTGGGGGGGAAGTGGGGGATGGGGTGGACGAAGACTTGGGCAACAGAGAACTTCCTCCGCCTGAGCCCTGTAAAGCTATCCCACTCTTGCAGGGATATGTGGTTGCCAGATTTAGCAAACAAAAATACAGGGAGTCGAGTTAAATTTGAATTTCAGAGACACACTGGATAATGTTTTGTTTTGTTTTTCCTGGCAATCCCGAGGGGAGAGGTCCACCAGTGGCTCTCTCCATCACCGGCAGGTTTGAGGTCTGGTCTGATCTCGGTCACTACTGGGCTGTGTGGCCCACATTGGAGGCAGCTTGGACTTCTCATGAAGGGGTAGGATTAGGTAGCATGATGATTAAGTTCTTGGCTGCCAACTGAAAGGTTGGTGGTTCTAATCCCCCAGTGACTTCACAGGAGTCAGGCCTGGCCATCTGGTCCCATAAATATTATAGCCTAGAACCCCATGGAAGTAGTTTTACTCCGTTACCTGGGGTCACTAAGAGTCAAAATTGACTAAAGGCCATGTGACAATAAGGTCTCTGCTAGGTATTGATTTCACATTTCCCTGACACTCCTTATATACAGCCCTAAAAAAAACCTTCATGTCTTCATTAAAATAACTCCTGAGCGTATCCTCATACAAGATTCAAAGAATCCAGAGGTCTATAAAACCAACATGATGCTCTCTGCCTGCCTCTTCTCACTTCCTCTCCCAAAGGGAGCCACCTCGAGCATCCTATGATTGTGATGCCAGGCATGTGGACAGGCATAGGTATTGACAGGTAAATGGCATCATTCTCGGGCCCAACCCACGGAGATTGTGCTTCAGTAGTCGCCCAGGAGTCTGTATTCCTAGAAACCAACCTAGGCTATGCGAGTGTTCAGCCTGGCTGGGGAACCTCTGGCCCCTGGACAGACTGCTTGCAACCCCCAGGTGGTGCAAAAAGTTACCAAACTTGGAGGCTGTCCACGGGAAGTTTGGGGGTTGAGTCTACCCAGAGGTGCCTTGGAACAAAGACCTGGTGATCTACTTCTGGAAAACTAGCCACTGCAAACCCTACGGATCACAGCTCTGCCATCGACACATGGAGTCCCCATGAGTCAGAATCAACATGGCAGCAAATGGTGTTGGTCCTTTCGCTACACCCAACCGGCACATGCCGGAAAGGATGCCTCCCTCCCGCTGCGGGCACACCTCTGGTCTGTCCGTGTTAGACCAGAAACAGAACACTCGGACCAACCGCTTCCACCCTGCCGCTCCTGTTTGTGCTTAACACAAGTCCACCTTCTTGACTTGCATACCTAGGTAGATCACTCATTACCTGAATTCTTCCTGCGAATGGTGGCTTACAGGGACAGTGAATTATTTAAAGTGGTTCTCTTAACCAAAGTCTTTAACTCCCACCAAAAGACCTTCCCCCAGTGGATCTGGTAACAAGAAGGGGGAGATACTGATGGGATTCACCTGTGAGTAATTCTGAACAGGACTCCCTGGAGGGCCAGCCACCCTGCTGTGTATACAGTGAGCCTCTGAGCAGCAGGAGGGGCCCTGGTGATGTAGTGGTTACACACTGGGCAGTTGGAAACCACCAGCAGCTCCGAGGGAGAAAGACTGGGCTTTCTACTCCCGCAAACAGTTACAGTCTTGGAAACCCACAGGGGGTCCCCATGTGTCTGCATTAACTCGATGACAGTGAGTTTGGTTTTGGAGTTGAGAAGCAGGAGGAGGAATCTCACTACCAGCAAGGGCCAGGAGTAGAGTGCATCCTCTGGGCAGCGAACCTCCTGGATCCAGATGACAGCGACAACATCCGAGAGCAGCAGCAGAGTCAGGAGCCAGAGCACGGAACCGAGCAATGGATGGCTCAACCCACGGAGCAAGTAGAGCTAAGTGCTTTTGTACAGGAGGCTGGCTTGCGGAGTAGGGTGCCTCTGGACACTTCACTGGGGAAGCTGGACTTGCAGAATCCATGGAAATGGAACCGAGTGCCTTCAGGCTGAGGCTTTTAGGCACTTAGTTTGGGGAGCTGGGTTTACTGAGCTTGATCTGGGTGCCTTCAGACTGAGGCTGGTAGCAGGGTGGTATGCCCTATGCAGAACTTTGTAATGTGCCCTGATAAACAATTCAAACACGGGCATTTCTTGCTGACATGGCAATTTGTTAACTTCCTTAATAAGCCCTTTCATTGTGAATTATGTCTGTGAGTTCCGTGTCGTCCTTGCAATGGACAGTCGATTCCAGGGAAGTAAACTAGAGAACATAATTAAGAAATTACAGTGGCAGCCCAGTGCCCCATTCAGAGCCTGCCCTAGCTGCCCTTCAGCTCTGAAGAGCTCCTATGGGCACACAGTCATGCCTGTTGGACCCCCAGGAATGTACTTCTTGGATTGAGGGCCTCAGAGGTTGCTCTCCACAGCAGCTGACCTTGCTGACAACCCCTGACCCCACTATCTGCCAGACCCCTTTGGGTCTCACCAGACTCTCAGTTCTGGTCTCTTCCGCCCTTCCTCTTCCTTGTACCTCTCAACCCCAACCGCGTACGCAAAAAGTTCTGGAAGAGATTCCACGATCTTGTCATTCCTTTTCCCCACTAACTTTTGGAAGACCCCGCATACACGCCATGCCAGGCAGTGAGACTCCCGGGTCAGCCTTCTTCTTTCTTTGCCACTTTCAGTCAGCCAGCCCGACAGCAGCTGGTCATTCATTGCACAAAAAGTAGGGCTCCTCTGCCCCTTTGAAGGCAGACCAGAACCAAGTCCCCCCGGGGAGCTTTGCCTTCTCCAACCCGGGGCTCCACCCTCCAGACCACCCTAGGAATAAGGGCAACCCACTCTTGGCTAAGACCCTTCCATCGGGCTCCTCGTTAACCTTCTCTCTTTAGCTGTACCATGGCTGCCAGTCCTGGGCTGGGTCTCACTGTCTCCTCCAAAGGCACCAGAGCCGTTGGCACAAACCTTGAGGGATTTCTTTGCTGGCGGCCAGCCTTGGGTGAACTAACTAACCGTTCTCTTTGCACTCACTCCCCCTTGTCCAAGTTGTCTTTTTCTGAGGAGTTCCTGTACGGTTTTCACAAAATCACACCTGCTCCTCGTAGAAAAGACAGCTAAGCCAAGGACAGAGTATGGTGCTTCAAAAAAAACCAAAAACCACCCTGCCTTCCTAAAGTCACCACTGTGCATTAGTTATTTATAGCCACGGTTCTAATAGTGCTGAGACGCAGGTACATACACATATATTTATGTTCTATTAGGCTGGCAGCTGATTTCTTCATGCTGAACCCAGCCTGCACAGTGCTTACAGCGATTTTGTTGGAAATGATTCGGACAGGCGACTTGTTCTCCAGTTCCATGTTCTACAATCCTTGATCGTATTGCACCACCCAACTTTGTTCATCTATGCCCTGTCCCCCCAGGCGTCTGAGCTGGCAGACGCCGGCCCCATGTGCATAGAGCGATGTTTCCGCCACACGGAATCCTGCCGTCTCTCTCACTCTGCAGCAGGCTGTTCCATGAACAATGCACAAGCAACACCTTTCCATACTAACCAGTAGTCACGGCTAACGGGCTAGGGGAAGTGGGTCACTGACCAAGAGACAGATCCTCAAGCAGAAGGGCCAACGCGGGGCTGCACCAATGGGCTCGAACCTGGGCGCGTGCGGATGTGAAGGTGGTGGCAGATGGGGCAGTGTTTTGTTCCATTGTTCACAGCACTGCTGTGAGTTCGAATTGACTTGAGGGCACCCAACAACCACCACCACCCCGAACATGTCCCCTACCCCCCAGAATGGACAGAGACTCTCCCATTCCAAAGATGCATCCTAATGGATTCCGCTAACCCTAACTGCTGGGCATTTCAATCGTTTGCGATTTCTCCGGCTTCAGTGAGCAGCGCTGTCACAAAAGAGGTGCACACTTCCTGAATGAGTTCCCTCGAAGAAACTCCAAGAAGAGGAATTGTTGGGCCAAAAGGTTTTTGCCGTTTTAGAAGCTCTAAACATGTGTGGCCAAATGGCGTGGGCAGCGTTTTACAGTATCACAGAGCCCCGCAGAGTTTCGTGTGCAACCGTCACCGCCAACCCTCCCCACCCCACCCGCCCAGCATCGCCCCACACATCAAAGCAGGGGTTCGGAAGGCTTCCTACGGGCAACTCACCCAAGAGGGGGGCTTTTCTCCAGTAACCATCCCGGACCTCCACGTAATCGTACCAGCACAGGCGGCTTTTAAACAAATCCATGGACGTGAAGTTTAGGGTGATCTGTAAAGAGTTACCATAGAGTGAATTTGGGCAGCAGAGCCAAAGGAGTTTGGAAAGATTTATCTCGAATACTTGTATTCTCGTGTTACCCTTTAGCATGCAGGGCTGTCAAGCCACAGTAGGAGGGTCTCCTTGGAAATACAGCCACCGGAAACCCCATGACATTAAATAATAAACGTTAAGCAGGATGGGGAGTAAGCAGAAGGGTATGGGTCCCTTTGGTTCTGTCTGGGGAATCGCTTGAGCTTTTGAAGTCACGAGATGGTTTACAGAAAGCAAGATGCATTAAAAAAGATGGACCGGGGTGCAAGGACACGGGGGAATCTAAAAAGAAGGAAGAGGTTGATGAAGTTCAGAGATATGGAGAGATCTTATAACACTATCAATCATTCCAAATGATTCAGGGTTAACCCTAGTGCATCTGAGCAGTTCCATGATCAGTGTCCCCCCAGCCAGGACCTTTCTGTTCGGAGGCTGGTATGTCTACTAGTCTTCCTAAAGCTTATCCACTCATTCATTCATTCATTCATTCATACCGCCACCCTGTGTTGAACTCTGACAGCGAGTCAGTCTACCGGCCAATTGAGATACGAGCAGTAAGATAGGTTTGGGGTGTGCAGGGAGCTCAGAAAGCAACCCAGGTGTATCAAGTTCATTAGCACACTATGGTGTAAATGCTGCAAAGAGAGGAGATGGTTCTAAAGAACATGTTGGCATGCCTAGGTAGGGACAAGGAGCCCTGGTGATATAGTGGTTATGCACTGGGCTTCTAAACTGCAAGGTTAGCAGTTCAGAACCACCAGCTGCTTTGAGGGAGAAAGACAGGTTTTCTACTCCCGTAAAAAGATACAGTCTTGGGAACTCATGGGGGCAGTTCTACCTTGACCTGTAGGGTCACTGTGAGTCAGCATCGATTCAGTGGCAATGGGTTGGGTTTGGTCTTTTGATAAGGAGGTAGCACTAAATCTGGCTGGTGCCACTGGAGAAGACTTCCTAGAGAGGAGGCATGTAAATGAAAGGGGAATGGGATTCGATGGGTGAGAGGGCATCTCAGAGAAAAGGGTAAGTGCGGTCAGGGAGGTGAGAGGGGCAGTGATGGTTCTGTGCTAGAATGCTCACTTTCCGTGCATCAGATCTGGATTTGAATCTTACTCAATGCCCTCATGCACAGCTACCCCTACGTGTCATTAGAGGCTTGCAAGGTCTCAACAGAGCTTCCAGACTAAAACTAAGATGAGAAAGAAAGGCCTGGCGATCCATTCCCCAGATCGGCCGATGAAAACCCTCTAGGCCAGCGGTTCTCAACCGGAGTGCTGCGACCCCTTTCACAGGGGTCACCCGATTCCTAACAGTAGCAAAATTACAGTGATGAAGTAGCAATGAAAATAATTTTATGGTTGGGGGTCACCACAACATGAGGAACTGTATTAAAGGGTCGCAGCATTAGGAAGGTTGAGAACCACTGATCTAGGTCACACTGTCCAGTTCACAACTGATCATAGGGACTGGGCAGCATTCTGTTCTGTCCTGTGTGGAGTCACCAAGGGTTTGGGGGCTGATTCAGGGACAGAAATCAACAACACTGTAGAGCCAGAATAGTTTAGTGTCTGTGTCTAAAATGAGGCAGGAAGGGCAAGGATATTAAGCAAAGTCTAGTGGTTAGGGGGTTCAGAATTGCTACGAAGGACCGTTTCAGCTCTTCTGTGCACCCCTGAGGTCATTCAGTGATTGTTCCTGACACTAAATGGGTACCCAGCACAGGGGCCTGAGTGGTCCTGCAGACTAATCCTCAGCACACCTGGTCCTCACTGCAACTCTACTAGCTCGGGACTCCCCTAGAAGACTGCTAGTGGGGTTCAGGGTTTTCTCTCCACTCATCATCTCTCTCGTTATCAGGCACGACTAGTTCCAGGGAAAGGACATATCATGCTTGGTAAGGTGGAGGGAGGGCGAAAAAGAGGACCCTCGACCAGGTAGAGTGACACAGGGGCTGCAACAATGGGCTCATTGAGGATGGGCAGGACCGGACAGGGTTTTGTGAGTACACTGGGTCGCTATGAGTCAGAACACCTCACAACAGCATCACCTCCCATTCCAGCTCCACCACGCAAGGTCCCACACTTCCTCCTGCGACAAAGCTGGTTGTCCGGGCCCAGCTTCCAACTTTACCCTCTTCCCAGGGGAGGGGGGGGACACATCCCTGCTCCATCCGTTCCCTTCAATGGCAGTTACATAATCTCCTGTCAACTTGAGGGAAGAGGTGGCGTCTAGCCTGTCAATCAGGTCATAGCCAATGAGGCCTCTGTGTGGGCATGGCTTTCTCCTGAGGATTCTGGGAACTCCAATTTTCCTCCCTGGAGCCGGGACACACACTCTCCCTTTGAGACATTCCTGTTGACAAGCCACATGGAGCTACACTGATGGAGTCAGAGCCCTGGAGCTAGAGCTGGAGGAGCCCAGCACTAAGAGGCTTCCACTGCCACTGGATCCACAAAACTTTCCATCCACTGGCCTGTGATCTTCCTGCATTCAGTGTCATTGCATGTGTTGCGTGAGTCTAAAGAGTAATTTATAGACTGGTATTGGGCATATGGTTTAATATCGGACTTACGGACTTGATCTGGAGTGGGCTGGGATGTTTTCTTTCTTATACACATGAGTGTCTATAAATTTGTTTCTCTAGTCCACCCAGACTAACCCATCTGCCCTTCTGGCTCTCCAGGCTCCTGCTCTGCCCCAGCCCCTGCACCTGTGACCTTTCCTTTTCCAACTCTCAGCCAGTCCCCATCTCTCTCCACCACCTCTCCACTCTCTCCCCCTCCAGTGGTCTCTGCCTTCCATCTGAGGGGGCATCACAAAGTTCATGGAAAGTGGAATCAAAAGATAACAGAAGGTTCCACTGCCTGCCAACGGACCAAGGGATAAACCAACAATGCTACAGGCACACGATGGAAAAGTACGCAGCCTGAACGGATAGCGAGGACTCTGAGAAACACGCCTAGCAAGGAGGAACCTGGGAGGGATGAGGCTGAGGCCAATAAGTCAGTCACCAGAAGGGCCAATGTTGAACGAGACTTACCACTGTCAAGTTTTCCCACCAGCAGAAACCACCTCTGATGGTTACCAGGGGTGGAAGGGGTTGGGAGGGTAAGTGACTAACTGGGGGGTCGGCAAACACACATGAACGGGGGAAGGAGAAGACAACAGACCTAAGAGGAGGTTGGCAGAAACATTGTGTGGGTTGCAATCAATGACATGAGACATAATATGTACGAATTATTGTATGAAAAACTGATTTGCTCTGTAACCCTTCACCCAATGCACAATAAAAGGGGCGGCGGGGGTGGGGTGGGGTGTTGACCGCATAATGAAATTTCCCCACAAACTCTTTGAAGCCCCTTCGTACTCAAATCGTCCCGGGGTTCCCCTTTCTGTAAGAAAATCCTTAATGATATCTATTGGTGCAACATGGTATTGATATAAGCCATACCCACCACCACCCCACAAAAAGAAAATCTTTAGTTTGGGGTGGAGAGATCCCTTCCTTTCAACCCTAAGGCACTGTTATTTGACTCCAGTGTCTGGGCTCCATCGCCCCTTCGCCCAGAATCCACAAGCCCATTTTCACCACTGTTCTCTCACTTCCTTGGTCCTGCTCCGCCCCCCCCACCCCCCACCGTATCCAACTTTCTGGAAGAGCATGTCCCTCCCAGCTTTCCTCTGTAGATGCCACCGCCCCCACCCCCCACGTGCAAAACCTTGTGCTAGCTCTCCTTTGCCCCGTTGTCTAGCCACACCTTCTGCATCTGCTCAGCGTCGTTCTGACAGATTAGTTTTTCCTGTAAGACGTCTAGTGAGCCCCCCTGCCCCTCCAGCCTTGACGTCCCTTCAACATCCTTCCTGGATGGTTTCCTCTGATGTGACTCCTGGGCTCCTCCCAACGGTGTCCCCTGCCATCCAGCACACGAGGGTTTCTCCATCAATCTGCCACTTACCTGCCATGCTTACCAGATGCCACCCCTGCTCAGACAACTTCAGTGGGGCTTCCGATGGCCCACTCTCGGAAATTAAACTCTCTGCGGACTCTCCAGGCCCCCCAGGCTCTCTCATGGACAACGTCAACTGCCGGTGCTCCCAGATACACCGGTGTTTGTGGAACCTTCCTTAGGCCCCGCTCAAACGCCCCTTCTCTCCGGTCAGTCTCTGATTGGCCCCATCTGTCCCTCTTGGGGACACCTCGCCCTCTTATAGTGATCACAGAGCAGGTGGCTTGTTTTGTTTTGTCCTTCTGACTTGATGGTGGTTTGGGTGAAAGTTTACAGAGCAAGTTGGTTTTCTGTTCAACAATTTAGACACGTCTTGTTTGGTGCCTTGATGGCAGCCCCCAGAATAGACCAGCGCTCCCCTCTCCTTCCCACTGGATCTCCCAGTTCCATTGGTGTCTTATCTGCACCTCCTTTCCTCCTTAGCTTTGTTTGGGGGCAAGCGCTGCCCTTTGAGTCTCCTGTGGCCATACTCCAGGGGAGATTCCACCGGTCTCTATCAGACCAGTTACGTCTGGTCTTTTTTTAAATTTTATTTTTTTATGATTTTGAGTTTTGGTCCACATTTTCCCCTCACTGTACCCAGGGCCTTCTCCTGTGATCGTGACCAGAGCAAGTGGCTTTAGGGCCATGCAGATCTGAATTTGCATCTCAGTTGTACCCTTTACTAGTCTGTCATTTGGGGGACGTGCTTGTCCTCTTTGACCTCTAGCTTCCCCATCTGTAAAAGAATATACGCACCATCAGTTTACTGAGGGGGCTGCCTGAGAAACCATACAGAGTGTAGACTGCTGAGCCTGGCACAGAAGAAGAGCTCATTTTAAAAATCAAGCCACCCTGAGTATACACATAGGCTACTGCAGACAAGCCCCGCTGTGGGCTCTTCACAGGCCGCCTCGCTTGACTGATGTGGAGAGGACTTCTCCCTTCCCTTGGAAAAGTCCTGCCCAGTGCCCAGGTCTCAGGGCAAGTGGCACCTTTTCCTCACACAGACCTCTGAGATCCTAGAATATAAAGAGTCAGAAACGGAAAATAACAGCTCACTCCTATGCTGTAGTGTGTGTGTGTGTGTGTGTGTGTGTGTGTGTGTGATTCTCTTCTTTCAATTCAGACTAGACCAGTGGTTCTCAACCCTGCTTGTACGTTAGACTCATTCCATGTCCTGGGGGGAAACCTGGTGCCCAGCTAATGTCCCTTCTTCAATCCCAGGAGACTCCTTGGATGTGGACTGCAGGCAGAGAGCAAGACTACACTCGAAGTCTCCTGAAGGCAGGGTTTGTAGCCTAGACTTCTTTTGCATCACCCACAAGGTTAGCATTTGGTTTGACAAGTTCAGTGCGACTTTGTCAGCTAATTGCAAGGTAGTTCTTAATCTAGTCTCTCCTTTAAAATTTACAGAAAGGAAATGTTATTACAGCGTCCTTGGCAACACATTTATGGTCTGAATGAACGAGATAATTATTCATGCTAATTATTTTAAGCGTGTGAGTGAACCATAAAGACCATAGGAGAAGAGGTGATGAACAGGAGGTGATGCTTGAATCGATCAAGTTTGCTAATTACTAGCAGCTCTGGGGAAAGCTGGGCAAAGCAGAAGTTGCAATCATTGGCACAGGAATTTTGATGATGTATCTTCTCTCTGCCCCCAGTTAACTCTAATAATTAAGGCCTGCTGAATCTGGCACAGTTCAAATGGATCACATAGCCTTTCTTGTGTAGGGCAACTCAACAATTTGAAGATTACCTGTCCCTGCCTTTGTTTTCTTAGTGCCTCCAGAAGCGTGCGCACACACACACACACACAAACCTCACTGCCTCCTGGTCAATTCTGACTCACAGCGACTCTATCCAACAGAGTAGAACTTCCCCTTAGGGTTTAACTCTTTCCAGAAGCACAAAGCCTCATCTTTCTTCCAAGGAAGAGCTGGTGGTTTCAACCTGCTGACCTGAAGGTGAGCAGCCCACGGCAGACCCCACTACGACTGGTCGGTTCTTTCCAGCAGGCACAGGGGCAACCAACCCACCCAATCGGACAGACCTGGACTCTCCCGGGCTGACCACAACCCCACTGGCTTCAATGCTAAGAGCCGGATCAAGTGTATGTTCAAATGTCTATTCCCTTGTTTCCTTTGTGGAATCACATACTGGTTCAACATCCTGACTCTTGGAGTCATATTGCTTCAGGTCAAACTACAACAAACTGAGTAAGCTTGGGCATGTCCATCCCCTCGTCTGTCAAATGGCCGTGGCCATAGCACTTGCCATACAGCAGTGTTGTGAGGATTACGATGACCCACAAAAGGTGCTGAGACCAATCCCCAGCCCGTAGAAAGGATCACAATGATTCCTGGTCAATATTTCTCTTTGGTTAACCCATCACGCTCAACTTGACATTTCAATGGGCATTTTTATGAAAAAGTTATGAACTTGGGATACCTGAAGGTTGGCTACAGGTGCCTAGAAAATTCCAACAACCGGTACCCCACCCCCAACTTCAGGCTTTTCACTCACCCACCCACCCATCCACGCACACAAACACGGTCCATCAGCGTTACTTAGGCGACAGTGTCATACCATGGGCAGGGTTGGGTGTGCACAATCTCTGTCCTTAAGGGGTTCACCGTCTCTAAGGAGGGGGACAGCCACATAAACCAGCAGTCCCTGTTCTGTTCTTTCTCCTCTGAGAGGTATGGTTTTATTGCAGTGCTTCCCAAAGGGGGCGGTGCTGCAAACATAGACACTTACACTTTATCCTGGATTGGGGGCCACAGTACAAAAGTTGTTTACTGCCAGGGGAGCGCTGGGTAATTTTTTTTTTCTGAAAAGGGGACAGTAGGCCAAATAAAGAGTTCCTCAAAGACAGTTTCACTCAAGCTGGGACTTCTTGAAGAACCCGTGGCTTTGGAGAGAGATGTAGAAGACAGGTGGGCTTCATGTCGTTGGAGTGTAGAAGGCCTGAATCCAGTTTTCAGTTCTATATCTTAACACCTGTGAATTTCAGCAACTTTCTTCATGTTGCATCTCAAACTCCCCGTACATGCAGTGACTGAGACTATGCATCATGTATTAGGGTCAAGAACAACCCCACGTTTGGACCAGGGCAAGAGGATCATGCCCTGTACTCAGTTTTAGAGGGCCACAGGATCTGTGGGGGAGTAGTGGCTACTCGTTGCACTGCTAACCACAAGGTCATCAGTTCGAAACTACCAGTAGCTTCTTGGGAGCAAGATGGAGCTTTCTACTCCTGTAAAGAGTTACAGTCGTGGAAACTCACAGGGGCAGTTCTACCCTGTCTTATAGGGTCGATATGAGTCGACATCCACTTGATGGCAGTAAGTATGGTGTTTCGTGGGGTTTTTGAAGGATCTAAAAGGTCAAAGGAACGTACCCATACAGAGCTCAGGCCACCTCCTACGGACCACATTCCTGGGAGCCAAACCAAAACCCAATCTCACTGCCCTAAAATCTATTCCGACTCATACAGGGACCTGGAGTTCCCCATCCCCACAGCCCTGAGAGTGATTGCAGGGTGTGCAATGGTCTCATGCCCAGATCCGTTCTCACCTGAACAGGCTTGCACCCAGTGAGTCCACACTGCTGGGCGGGCAGCTAGGGTGCAACCAGGAGAGCCCGGCGTGGCTGCCGAGAGGGAGTGTTGGGATGTGTGTATGGGTGTTCCGGGGCCGCAGGTGAGGTGGGGTCAGAGGGGTGGGAGTGGGAAAGAAGGACTATCTGGTTCAGGGTGGAAGCTACTCCTCCCCACACTGCCACCTTCCAGAACAGCACTTGGAGGGCCCTAACATTCCCTATTGGATCCTCACCTTGCAGAGCGTTCTTGTGCGTTGTCCAGTCTTTCCCACGCACAGTCTCTGTGAGCCAGAGCAGCATGGCTCAGCGTCTCCTAAGCTGTAGTGGCGCAATGTTAAGACTCCACTCCACTGCTAAGGGAAAGGTTGGTGCTACCCTGCTGGGGGAAAAACTTGACTATCTGTTCCCGTAGCGATTACAGCCCAGGAACACCGGGAGGGCAGTTTGATTGTCCTACCAGGTTGCCATGCGTGGGAACCAGTCCCATGGCACGCCACCACAACAATCTGTAGGAAAGGGGTCGCCAGGTCTTCTCTCTCACGGAGCTGCTGGTAGGTTTGAACCACTGACCTTTTGGTTAGAAGCCGAGCACTTATCCATCGCATCATCGGAACTCCCTTCCAGAGCATTAGGATGGTGCATTGATCAAGGTTCAAAAAGAGAGTGAGTGAGAGAGCCAACTTTATTGGACAGGCTTTTAGCTTGATTTATAGCTTTGGAATGTTTGGATATTTAGCAAAGAGGCCGTTTTAAGGACTAACCCAAGCCTTGCTATCTCTAATAGCCTCATATGTATGTGAAAGTTGAACACTGACGAGGGAAGACAAAAAAAGAACTGATGCATTTGAATTGTGGTGCTGGAGAAGAACGTGGAAAGTATCATGGACTGCCAAAAGAATAAATAAGTCTGTCTTGGAAGAAGTACAGCCCAAAAGGCTCCTTGTATGGGTACGGCTGGTTGAGAAGTTCAGAGATCATTCACTATGGCAGGCACATATAAAGTCAACGTCATTGCCATCAAGTCAATGCTGACTGTGCATGATTAGCTTGCAAAACATCAGACTGTAAAATGTTAGCTAACAAGACATTCCATACGTGAGGAAAAGGTATACATGTAAAACCAAACTCAATGCTGACTCATAGTGACCCCGTGTGTATTTCCAAGACTGCTACTGTTTACGGGATCAGCAAGCCCAGTCTCTCTCCCGCAGAGCTGCTGGTGGTTCCGAACTGCCGACCATGCAGACCCCAGCCCAAAGCGTAACCACCAAACCATCAGCGCTCCTCCTGCACATATGCTCATAAAATAAAAGCAGTCGCTACTGCTAATAATAATAGTAGCAGCAACAACCCCTCAAGCCTCGACCCCATTCCAGGAAAGCTCGGTTATTTCTGGAGGGGGAGTCACACTTACCTTTTCCCCGGGAGTCACCGATATCCTCCAGACGCAGTGGGAGTAAGAAGGGTAGCCATTTGGGAAACCAGGTGCCGAAAAGTTCCCTGTAGTGTCCTGCAGGGTCTCCCCGCACGCTGCACAAGCGAAACAACAGCTGTGATTCTGGCCTGCCTGCGCACACAGACACACACACACTCACTCGGGGGCAGGGAGGAATGAGGGCGTGCTGCCTCAAAGGCTCGCCATGCAAATGGCTTGCAAGCAAATGCACCCCCTTACAGGCCAAAGTCCCAGGATCCCCTTGGAAAGAAACCCCTCTGCCTCAGGTAGATTTACATCTCATTTTGGCTGGCAAAAGTGAAACTAGGTTCTGAGCGCCAAAAAGTAACACCTGCAGAGTTCCCCCAGGGGCTCTCTGGGCTGAGTGTGGCCTAGAGCAGGGGTTTGTATCTCAACCCTCCAGCCAGTGGTGGCCCTGACCCAATTTCCCAGTCTTGCTGGGCTGTAAGCACCTTGGTAGCATAGTGGTTATGTGTTAGACGACGATACCCAAGGTGTGCTGTTCAAAGCCACCAGCTGCTCCTCAGGAGAGAGTTGGGGTCCACTCCCGTTAACAATTACAGTCTCCGGAACTCAAAGGAGGCCATTCTAACCTGCCTATAGGCGCTCTATGAGTCGGCATCCTGTGTGTGTGTGTGTGTGTGTGTGTGTGTGTGTGTGTGTGTGTGCGCGCGCTCACGTGTGAGTGCACTGGGTTTTCTTCTCTGTAAAATGGGTGGAGACCCACATCAGAAGGTTATTTACGTCACCTGCATTAAATACAATGGGATGGTTTCGTGTTTGGCATACAGAGAACTCTCCATAGTATAAATTATAATGACTACTGATATCCGTGGCAGAGAATATGAGATTATAAGTAAGGTGAGGCAGAAAGAATTTAAAAGTGTCGATTTGAAACAACTCTTACTTTGAAACCGCTCTTTGGCTACCTGCCTCTGAAAGCTCTCCCATATTGCCCAAAAGAGAAAAAATGCCAATGGCATGGAAGGTTGGAATATTCTACTGTTAGGCACATCTGTCCTTGACTGTTTTAAGGTTGCCCAGTTATGAGTGTGAAACCCAGACTTGATGCATATGAAAAATATCACAACACCCAACCTCCTGCCAGCAAGTAGATTCCCACGCCTGGTAACCCTATAGGGCTAAGTAGAACTGCCCCTGAGGGTTTCCAAGACTGGAACTTTTTATAGGAGTATGAAAAGTAGTGCCCATAATTGGTCCTAAAAAAAAAAAATAGAGGGAGTTCTGAATTGGGCTGTCATCACATGGTCAGCGGTTTGAAACCAGCAGCAGCTCTGCGGGAGAGACTGGGCTTTCTACTCCATAAATAGTCACCGTCTCGGAAACCCACGGGGAGTGGGGTGAGGCCAGCATTGACTCGATGGCAGCGAGTTTGGTTTTATATGAGTACACCAAATTCTCAGGTAGGGACTCCCTGGGTAGCTGACATACTACATGTCTGACCATAGTAAAGACAATTGACCGCCTGACTATTTTGCAAACTAAGGATGCACATCCGCCGGAACACAGGCAAGAGCCATGCTGGCTGTGAGGGCTAGAGCGATGTGTGTGCTTGACTGGGCCACCGGGCTCTGTGGTCCGGCAGTTCCGTAATGATGTGATGTGTTTTCTTTTGCAGTCGCCCATACTGATAACTGAGGACTGGGTGTATGTGGGGACGCCTTGGGTGGCACAAAGGTTGCTACATCCAGCTAATACCAAAGGGTTGACCATCTGACTTCTTCCAGAGCTTCCTCGAGAGAAAGATCCGGTGACCAACTTCCCACACATCAGCCAATGAGACCCCAAAGGAGGGCAGCTCTACTGTGACCCACACAGGGTCGCCGTGAGTCAGAATCAAGTCCATGGCAACCAGTCGGTCATTTATTAGTGCATGGACGCTTCAAGTTTTCTATTTCTTCCCCTGACTCCAGGAAGTCAGACCCCAAAGGCAAAGACATAGACTTATTGAGTGGCCCGCGCCGCCCCCCTTCCCCACCACCCCCCCATGTTGTGGAGCCGTACCAATTCGGGAAACCAGCTTCCTCTCAGCTCTGCAATTTCCTGTCTCCAGGCTAACTGCCCAAGCTCTCGGTTCCTGCTGAAAACTTGAAGCCCCACGTTTGCGGGGAGCTGCAGGAAGGGCTATCTGGAGAGGTGCCCAGGAAATCCTGGGTATCGGGGCTTCGAGATCATGTTACCCAACAACTGCCAGGCAGCATGAGGATTATGCCCAGCCGTCAACACCCCCAAGGGTTCCACGGAAATTATTTTAGTAAAAGCATTCACATCCTGCAAGAACTGAGACATGGCTGTGTGGCGGCCTGGCATTTACCAGCTGCCTCGCATCCTCTGGGAAGGAGGCGACGTATACATTATAAATAAATAAATGCGCAGGCGTTTCCCAGGGAATGCTCTAAGGTTTCCTGGTCCATGCTGCAAGGTTATGTGATATGTGTGTCCTGCACTTTGGCTCAAGCATACCCTCGGATGACTCGGATGGACGCATTTCCTCCAGCCTCACGAGGGAGCGAGCCCCCACGCAGCCCTTTGCCTGCCCTGTGACTCTGCTGAGGAGGGCAGTGTGGCAGTCCAGATGTTCTGGGATGACTCCAGTTCACATCTTCAGTCCTGCGATCAAACCGCGCGTCTTCCTTTCTCACTGACCTCGATGTCCACTCACGGTGAACCTTAGGCCAGCGTAGAATGGCCCCCTGTGAGTTTCCGACACTGTAACTCTTCACAGGAGTAGAAAGCTCCATCTTTTCCAATGGAGCAGCTGGTGGCCTCAAACTGCTGATCTTTAGGGTCACAGCCCAACGTGTACCCACAACACCACCAGGGAGCCTCCTTGTGTCTGGTGCAGGAGTGGGGTCATTGAAGGTTATTGAACCTGCTGGGAATGGAATTTCCTTCTGCATTTCCAAGACCCTAAAACATATTCTCTCCCATCGGTGGTAAACACGTGGCTGCTGTAGCCATTGTGTAGAAGTTCAGTAGTCTAAGGGGGCCTACAGCAGCTTACACCATTGGGCAAAATCGTGCTAAAGGATACAGAAGACAGAGAGGAACTTCTGAGCTCTTAGAGACCCCAGTTTCCTGCCCCAGTCATCCAGGGCAGACTGCTTGCCTTTGACTGACAACTCTGATGACTACAGGAGCCTCAAGACCACAGGGGCAATCTCATGTAGCTGCTGGATAACCCCCCCCGGCCTTCCAGTATGTGAGACTCTGACTCCCACCTTCCTAAGACCTCCCTTTCATTCTTTGTCTTGCGGAAAATTCTCTGGACTCTTGTTTCTCCAAATCCATATCCCCCAGTCTCAGAGAAAGAAGTGATGTTTCAGGGCAAGAGATGACAAAATACCAATTTATAAACTATCAAGGGCTCATGAGGGAGGGGGGAGCGGGGAGGGAGGGGAAAAATGAGGACCTAATGTGGGGGTTTAAGTGGAGAGAAAATGTTTTGAGAATGATGTACAAATGCGCTTTACACAATTGATGTGTGTATGGATTGCGATAACAGTTGTATGAGCCCCTAATAAAATGTTTAAAAAAAAAAAAAGATAAATCGATACCAAACTGAAGTCAACAATAAGAAATTGAAATTTCAAAAGAAAAAAGAAAAAAAAAAAGAAGTGATGTTTCTACTGTTATTGAGAGGGGATGGGTGGGGGGGCCACACTGCACTGGACCCTGGTTTACTACTGTTCCACTGTGCCTTCGATCTTTTCTGAGCATCGGAGTTTTGCCAGAGAATTCCAGCAGCCTCCTTCGAGGTACACTGAGCTCCTAGACCGAGTATTCTGCAAGCGCTGCCAACACGTCTTCATTCGGGCTGTCCACTGCCTCGCACCTCCCAAGAGAAGCACCCCAGAGATGGCACCTGTCAGGAGGTCATTTCTTCTCCGGGCTGTCTTCCCACCAAAGAGAAATGTTTGCGGACAGCAGTGGAGCCATGTGCTCCCCGGAGGATTAGGGAGGACGGGAACATCTCCAGATTGGCAGTTACCTGGGCATTTGTACAGCTTCCTGGCTTGTGCTATGTCTCCCTGGCTGAGGCGCACGCGCTGGCCAATGGTTGGCCTGACGCCATTGTCATCACGACGGGGGAGGATGGTGTCTAAGAAAACGCCTCTAGAGGGAGGGCGGGGGACAAAAACGAGAGAGAAAAAGGAGACAGAAAAGCCGAGGCTGTCAGGCTGACGCTGCCGGGAGTGACGCTCTTCATTTCCTCACCCCCAAACCCCAACGAGAGTCCCACCCCGACTCGCCCCTCCCCAGGCTGACATGACTGACAGGCTTCTTTCACGTGCTGCTTCTGCACGTTCGCATTCCATCGCAGCAGCTTCTCAGTGGGACTGATGACTCTGCCGAGTTTAAAGATACATCCCCAGCCCAACAGCCCACGTGCTTTCTCACGGATGTGCACTGAACATTTCCACCGAGCCAGCCCATTGCCTAAGTGCAGGGAGCACCATCATTCAGAGACACTGTGGCGGCAGTGCTGCCCCTGGAGTTGTGCCATGGGCAGTTCTGTGTGGATGAGTATTGGGGGTGGGGACAAGGAGAGCTTGGGGACCAGTGAGAGTCTCGGTGGCTGCTAAGTGCTGGCGGATGAATTGGTGATGAGTGAGGTTCAGCGTGTAGATGGCCTTGCTTTCAAGGGTCAATTGGATGGAAAAGAAGATGGATAAAGGGAACATGAGGTGGTCGAAAGAGCCCTGGGCTAGTGGTTTCTAGGGAAGGCTTGGCTCAGCCACCACTCGGAGCCTGTTCAAATCTCTGTCCCTCCCCGAGTCTGATTTTACACTGAGAGACTGGCCTCGATGATTTGGGCCAACAGGCTGGAAACTCAAGCGAGAGTTGATGTTGCCATGTTGGGTCAGAAACCCGTTAGTCTGTGGAACCTTCTGATATGGTAGACCCTATGCTGGACCCTTGGTCTGCCTCATCCTAGTTAAGCTACATAACGCCATAGCCAGTAGCATGCTTATCATTCCCATTCCACAGGTGAGAAAAACCAAGCTTGCTTAGGTACAAAAGCCAGCAACGGAGAGCCCACCGCCAGCCAGTCCCTCCCACTCTCCCAGGAACAGCATCTTAGATCAATGACAGGGCTCAGCGAATGGGAGACTTCAAAAACCCACAGGACCAGGGCATCAGCTTACACTCAGACAGCTCTTTGGTGCCGGGACTTCCGAACCCAGTGTGTCCCTGAGCTGCCAGGACAGTCATGGTTCCTGGGAGATGTTTACTACCAGAGACAGCTCCTGTGCAAACCTCTGCAGAAATGATACCCCTTTCATGCAGGACAAATCTGCTGCGAAACCAAGAGCGGGTTGGCAGATGCCTTAGGGAATAAAGCTGTCAACTCCGAGGCCTGCAAACAAAGGCGCTCCTGTCCCACAGAACTGTTTCTTCATCCCCTGGACGCTTGCCCAGCCCAAGCTCAAAGACACCACTCCTCACAAGCTGGGCCCAACGATGCGGGAAGGGAGCGGACCCGCAATAAATGGGGAGGAATAACATGGGGAGGAGATGGCTCTGCCGTCCTCGTAAACAGAGGGAAGACATGAAGGCCCAGTTTCCCATCAGCAGGACCGGCATTTGCTCCCCAGAAAGGCAAACATTCCGTAGGCTATTTCCTGCCCTTTTACAGAAAGAAACACAATGGGTAGGCCAGCTTCAAGGGCCATGTGGCCATATGGAATTGGGACGGG